TATCCTGCCCTGGAGAACAAGCCCAGGCCAGCCTGCTGGAGGATGAGAAACCCCCAGACAAGACCTTCCTGGTCCTGCCATCTGCAGCCGACTCCAGCTGAATGCAAGTCCAGCCAAGATCAGCAGAGCTGCGCCAACCTTAGCAAAACGTTTACTGTTGTACACACCCTGGGGTTTTCAGTTACATGGTATTTGGCATAGTTGTGGCCACAGAGACCTGCCACACTTGTATCAAAAACACATGGGATACTTTTAACGATATTATAATGGTGGACACACGTCATTAACACTTGCCCAAACCCACCGGATGTACAAAACCAAGACGGAACCGTAGTGTAAACCATGGCCTTGGGGTGATAATGTGTCAGTGTGGGCTCATCAGTTGTAACAAATGCACAACTCTGCTTGCACATGTTGGTCATGGGGGAGCTTGTGCACGTGTTGGGGCAGGAGGTAGATGGGAAATCTCTGTACCTTCCCCTCAATTTTCCTGTGAATCTAAAACTGTCCTTAAAAAATTAAATCCTTAAAAAAAATTAAAAAAAAAAAAACCCAAGATACAAAAAAAAAAAGGCATGGGCCTCTCTACTGCTGCTGGGCCCGGAGGGACACCCCTAAGCCCACCCAACCCCGCCCCCCACCCTCGCCATGGTCCGTGGGGAGGAAGAAGCAGACAAACATCTGTCAGCCTGCCTGCCGCATGCCCACTTCAGCTGACCACTTCTCTGCTCCTGCCCCTTGGGCTCTGGTCTAATCTGCTCATCTTCCCTTCCGTGTCCCTCCCCCACACATCAGAAATAACACACTAACATACATCCCCAAGTAGCAAAGTCAAGCTCCCTGCCCACAAGCTCCCCAGGCTTGATGGCCCTCAAACCTATGGAGGCCAGAATTCACTTTCTATGGAGACTAGCCCCATTCTAAGCACATGCAGTGCAGGAGGCCTGAGGCCTGGTGAAGGCAGAGGGCTGGGTGCGGATTCCCAACAACTTGATTTCTCATTTTCGGGAAAGGGGATTCCAAAGTCTATCAATCCTTCTGTGGCATTCGGAAAAACAAAACCAAAACTCAAACACAATTTTTTTTTCTCGTGTGTGTGTCAAGATAAAGGTCCCGGTCACTGCTGCAAATCTATAAAACATAAAGCCCCCCCCACCAGTAAAGGGAGACACCACCCCCATGCTGGGTGGGTGGTGTGGGCTTGGCTGAGCCTAGACAGCAACGGGGGGGCGGGGCCTTTGGAGAGCCCCTAGAATTTAAACAGGCCTGAGAAGAATGACATCAAGAAAGGAGGGCAATATTTTAAATTTAGCATAATTGGGCCTAATTGGGTTCAAGAGCTGTCTGACATTCGAACTGCCTTTCTACAACAATGAAAGCAGCACAAACACGTCCTTTTGGTTTCAGGGCTATCTCCAGAGCTGTCACCTCCACAAAGGTGAATCTCGGGAGATAATAAGAGGAAGAGAAGAATTAAGAAAAGGAATTATGGCAGCTTTCACCATCCCCAAGTCACAGGGAACAAAACAACCATAAATCTAAATGACAGCAAGAGCACACTTTGAATGTTCCTGGAGAATTATTTGACAAATAAATATTTTAGAAGAAAATTGTATGCTGAGCCACATCCATGATAGTACCCATCTCAGGAGCCAGGAAAGAACACATTTTCTTAAACAAGACACATCTGATCCTTAGTTACTCAAACCATAGGAAAGATCTGTCAGCTTGGGCAGAACTCCCTTCTTAACTGACCGGAGATCATTAGCTCAGCAAATGTACCCAGAAATCCTTTCAAAGCCTTTAGAGACATTTTTCTTCTAGGAAGCTGGCTGTGGGCAGGACCTGTGGGCTGCACATTCTGTTGATGGAGCAAGTACCCCTCTACTCCACCAAACTTCTCTCTAGGGCTTTCTGTAAGGTTTTTACTATCACTAATTGTGATAAGCTTGTAGATCAGGCCCAAAGGGCTCGTGCCTCAGGGCCTTTGCACTTGCCGCTCCTGCGCTTTCCCCCACATTATCTTCTCTACATCTTCGTCAAATGTCAGCTGCTCTCTCAAGTGGCCACTCTCAATCCCTGAACCCCTGGATTGTGTTTACCCCACTCCAGGTGCTGCAGGCTAGCCTGGGGTAAGACAAAAGCCCTTCCTGAGAAGGTGCTCCCTGAGAAGGTGCCCCTGAGACCTGAAGGCAGTGAGTGAGCACACCTCTGCCCCAAGGCTGGACACTGTCACGCTGAAACCAGTTCGCTTCCCAATTTCCTGTTTCTTAGCCAGCTCCTGTGGGCTGGCCTCTTGCCACCAGACCGGGGTTGGCCTCGCCTCTCCAGCTTTGGCTCCCATATACCCCCCCCCCACCCCGTACCACAGCACAACCAACCATACTGCCCCCGCCACCACCCCCTTGGCTCGGTCAGCTGACCAGAACATCCTCCCTCCACAGCCCCCCAAGTCTGTCCTCACTAGGCTCCCAGGATTGTCGGAGCTCCTTGCATTGAAGTCACTTGCTCTGTATCTCTTTGGACTGCCTTCTGGGGCCCTGCCTCAGGCTCTAAGCACCAGGTAGTCTTCCTCTCTAAGCACCAGGTACTATTACTGTGAGTTCTCTCCTCAAATAAAGGGTCGACTCTCAAACGCAAGGACTGTTGATTTCTCTTCCGGTCTCCTATAGTACCTGACCGTTGCCTAGCAAGAAACACATCTGCAATGACTCGCTGTTCCATTTGCCATTGGTCGTGCATTGGCCCTTTACAGCACTTTATTCGCCGTTTTTATGGGAAGACGGAGGCTGTTTGATCAACAGAATCTAGGAGCCACTGGGGAGAAGCTCGGGCCTTCCCCCTCCCCCAAAGCACAGAACACAGGACTTGCTCCTTCTGATCAGAAGATACAAGAGCCCAGGGGTCTTGCCATTTGCCAGCCATGTACCATTTCTCCATCATGATTTGGTGGGGAGCAGAGAGGAGACTCAACGCAGAGAAACAAAGAGACGCTGCAATCAAGGGGAACAGCAGAGAGAAAAAGAGCTTCGCCTGGCCGAAGGAAAAAGTGCTGGAGGATGTATTCTTCCCAGCCGGGGGCGGGGGGGGGGGGGCTGGTGAGGAACAGGAGGGGATGGTTAATGAGGACTATTGTCAGTGTCATGTGCATTAGGGGGTTTCATGCTAGCGACCCTGGGAGGTACAACTAGGAAACCGAGGCAGAGAGGCTGGAACTTGTCCTTCTGTCCAGTTCCATTGCCCTCCCCGGACCCTATGCTGAGGGAGTGGCTTTCAAAAGTAGCCCAGAAACCCCCAAGCCACGGTCTGTTTATATTGTTCTCAGATGGCTAGAATGCAGCAGTCCCCAAACTTTGATTTGTTGCCCCCAAAGGAAACATCATAAAGCTGGGCCCAGTGGAGCCTCAAACCAGCTTGGCCTCTGCCCACCCCAGCCACCTGGACACCCCAGGCTGCTCAGGACATGGGACCGACCGCCACCCCACCCCACCCCCCCGCCATGTTCTTCCTGATCTTTGCGAGGCTTCCTTAAAAGCAGGCTCCGCTACCTGCTTCAGGCGAGAGAGGTCTCCTATAAACACCTCTGTGTGAAAACGCATCTTAGTAAAAGCCAAAGTAGAGCTGCAGAAACAGCCCCAACAGCCCACCCATGGTGAGGGCTGAGGGAAGGAGGAGTGCAGGCACCCGCCTGGGTCCTAACACTTCCAGGGCTCTGGGGCATCTGGGCCAGCGCTGGTGACACACGACACCAAGCACAGTCCCTTCCCTGCTTTCAAATGCTGTGTCAAGCGAACCGCCCAAGTGTGGAAGCAGAAAGTGACACTGGCAGGCTCCTCCATGACTAAGCCCAGCCCAAACCACAGGCAGACACACAGCACCCGGCTCCGGAGATAAACGAAAGGCACAGGGTCCCCGAGATCCCGGGTAAAACCGCCTGTGTTCTGTCAGTCACGGGCTCCGGAGCAAAAAGCACTTGCACTCCCGATCTGTGCGAGGCTGAGGCTGCGGGCCCCACGGGCCCCGGGGGCTGTGACACGCAGGTGAGCAGCTGCCGACCCAGACGGGCTCCCGGGCGCTCGGCCGCTGGGCTCCCTCTGCAGTGTGTCCCTCCGAGTGCTGGGGGGGTTGTTCCGTGAGCCCGGCGTTCTCAAGTCTTCGAAAGCCAACTTTGCCTTTCCTCTTCAACACGTTCCCTGCTATCTCTGAGTCCTGACATGACTAATGGATACCTCGTGCCTCCCTCCACCTCCCCCCGTCCTCGCCTACCCTACCGGGTGGGTGTCTCCGCCTCCACCGCCTTCGCAGGCCCTGCTCCGGGGACCCCGGGCGGCCCTGGCTCGGGGCAGTGGCCACGCGGACCGCGAAGTCGGAGACCACGCTGGCGGGGCGCCGCGGAGCTGGGGGCTGCGGGAGGCGGGCAGGCGATCCCGGAGGAAACTCCGACTCCCGGGGGCCTGCAGGAGCCCGTCCGAGTTCGGGCGTGGAGGAGAAAGGGCAAGGGCAGCGGGAGGGGCCGGGGGGGTCGGGGGGGGGCAACCGGGGCTCGGGACGGGACGCTGTCCCTGCAGGCCAGGAAGGGCAACGGTCAGAGGGGGCCCAGACGGAGGAGACCCGGCGAGGGGTTTCCAACCCGGGTCCGAGCGCGGGCCCCCGGGGGTGGGGGCGGGCGAATTCAAGAACCGGAGGACTCCGGGGGCGGGAAGCGAGAGGAAGGCGGTGAGGACTCGAGACTAGCGGCGTCTCCCGCGGCGCTGTGCCCTGAGGCGACGCTCCACAGCCGCCCACCCACCCCCGCCGCCGCCGCCGCCGCCCGGACCGCGAGCCCCCGGCCGGGGAGGCGCAGGGCCGCCCAGAGCTCCACACGAGCCGCAGGACAGCGACCAAGACGCGCGCTGGGCAGCGGCACAGGCACCGCGGGACGGGCCAGAGCCGGGATCAGGGCGACGCGGCATGCGAGGGAGGGCGGAGGAGATCCCACCCCGGCGGGGACGCCAACCTACCCGGCCGTTGCGGTCGGTCTCCCGCACCTCCTCAGCGCGCGGCCCCCGCCGCACCAGCTCCCTCAGCAGCCCCACGTCGTTGGCGCAGGCGGCGCGCAGGAGGGTCGCCTCCTCCGGGACGCCCTCTGGGACGCTCCCCGCACTCGCGGTGCCGTATTCCTCCTCGCCTCCGACAGGGTAGAAGGAGTCGTCCGAGGCGATGCTGCGGGTGTCGGGCAGACACGAGAAGTCCTCGTACTCCTCGTAGTCGGCAGGGTCCTCCTCGACCAGAGCGCCCCGGGGTGGGGACGGCGTCTGCGGGGGCACGCGGCGCGCCCCGCCGCCCTCCGGCCCGGGCCCGGCCAGCAACACCATGCTGGCGGCCGGGGCGCGGGCCGAGACACTGGGGCGCGGGGCGTGCGCCGAGGTCACCGCCCCTCGTCCCCCGCGGCCCCAGAAGAGCGGTGCCTGGGCGCTCCAGCCCGGCGGAAACGAGCACCGGGCAGCTGCGCTCCGAGACTAAAGTCACGGGAGGCTGGAGAAAGCCCCTCGGGGGTGGGAGGAGCCGCGGGGGCTTTCCGGGCGCGGCGGGCGGGCGCGGGCGGGGAGGAGGGCGGGGCGGCCGCCCGGGAGGAGGCGCGCGCCCGGGGTTCCCCCGCCCGGCGCCCGGTGCCCCACAAAAGTTCAGAGCGGAACGTGGGCTGCTGGGCGCCGCGGGGCCAGCGCACCCGGCCGCCTTGCCTCCGGAGCCGAGAGAGGCACGCGCCGGAGAACTAGAAGCAGTAACTGGAGAAGCCGAGCGCCAGTGTCTCGGGCGGCGAGCGGCCCCGCCCCCCCTCCCCAGCGACCCGGGGTGGCGGGCGGGGGAGGGGGGATGAGGGCGAAGGTGGGGATCAGGGGACGCCGCGAGCTGAGCCTGCTTCCCGCGTCGGGAACCTCCAACCCCCCGGGGCCCGGCACCGCCCAGGGCGTCAGGCTTCCCAGCCGGGGTTACAAGAATTTCTCGGCACCGGAGCCACCGAGCTCGTTGTTGCACCTCCTCAGGAGACCGAGCTCCGGGGCCAACTCCACTCCGAGCTTAAGACTGGGGAATCGCCGGGGACAAGGGCACAGAGGACGAGTGGGTGCATAGGAAGCCGAGTCCACCGAGGGGGCCCGGGGCCGGGGCTGCGCTGCGGCCCGTGCCCCTTTGAACTGGGAGCTTCCGGAGGGGACGGTCCGCAGAGTCCCCCGATCACGCAGAACTCGGGCCAGCTGTGGCTTGCAGGTTGCTTCTAAAAGAGCCACCCTAGGGTGATGTCTTAAGGGCTCGGGTGGGAACATTTGGTGGAAACGAAAGACTCCAGGCCAGAGCTCGAGGGGTGCCCTCCTCCCCCACTCCTAGCCCCTGTCACGGTGCCTGGATCTGCGGAGTCAAGACAGAGAACGGCGTGAGGCCGCGACCGGGCTCTGACTAGGGGCTGGCTGCCAAACGCAGAGAGCGGGCCCGCAGGAGACTGCCGCGGTCCAGTTCCAGCCCCACGCCGCCCGGGCCTGGCCTCTCCGGGTTTATCCCGGTGCTGGGGGTGATTTGCCGCGGGGAGCCCCTGACCTCGGGGAAGAGAGTGTGCGGCGGGCCAAATCCCCGTGGAAATGGCTCTGCGTGAAGGCGCTGTGGCTGGCGAGCCTGGGTTGGAGGAGTCGCACCTTTGGCAGAAACTGTTTGGTGGGGGGGGGGGAGCGGGTGCGGATACCACCAGGGACACAACCACCCCTCTCTCTGTCCCTCTCCCTCCTTGCCTTTTCACCGCTGGTGATAGCGTGCCCACCATGGGCCAGCCCCCGTGCAAGGCCCTCGGGGCCCAGAGGTGGACACAACCGGACGGACGAAGCCATTGGGGGCCAACTTGAGGATCCCTGGCCTGGGGTGCCAGCTGCGGGGCTCAGTGGGGAACACGATCAAAACTACCCTGTGCGAGCCGTGAGGGGGGTGGGGGCCGAGCAGGGTTAACCTCCGAGACCTTGTAAGCCCCGAGACCCTCCGAAGCGGTCACCGGGGCCTCGGGTGTGCTCGCTGCCGGCTCAGAACCTGGCGTCCGCGGGGCTCGGGAGGGGTCGGAGGCGGGGGGACCGCGATTTCTAGTAAAGACACAACCATGCACTGAGCTAGCAGTGACCTGGGTGCACTGGCTTCCTCCGGTACTCGGGGCTTTCTTTTGAAGCCCAAAATACCCAAATCAAGGTCTGCGTCTATCTTTTTCTTTAGCCGGCCAAATTTACATAAATTCCCCCTGGGAATTTCCCCCTTCCAAGGTTGACCGTGTTTTCAGCCTTTCCAGAGGCCTGTTACTTGAGGTCATGGGGATTTACAAGTTGAAGTGCCCCCTCAGGGCAGGGCTGGGTTTGCTAGTCCTCTCCTCCCAACCAAGTGCAGCGCTGGCCGGCAAGGGGCGGTATTAAAGAAAACCCTAGCGGCCTGTGGCAGGATCCCGGGGGGATGGCGCCGGGTCTTTGCCGGGCTGCAGCCCTAGAACCAAGCAACACGCACCCTTTTCTGGAGTCCGGCCGCCCCGTAGTCCTCATCACTCAATCACTAAGCAACGGAATTCAGGCCCTATCTTCCGAGTTCACCACTTCCTCCTTTTCTTTCTTAGAAATTTGGATCCAAATAGCACTGGAATGGGGTTTTCCCTCGAAAGATAAATTTCTGGAGCCGTTTGCTCCAAATAAGGACTAGCTGGTCATTTGTGAGTGACCAGACCCCAGACCCAGGCAGATCATTTTCCCCTTTTAGAAATGCACCCCTTTTATCACAAAGACAAAAGATTCTCAATGTTGCTAAGAGAACACAAAATGAGGCATATGTATGTTTAATAGTCAACACTTATGTGTACAAAATCTGCATAGAAAGGCCAAAGTTGCTTATCAAAACTGCCAACTTTAAATCTCAAGAAATTGTATTGTCTCCAAGACTTCAGTTTCAATTAACTATTTTAATTTATGAGGGTTTTTTTAGGTATTATATATATCACAATTACACAATTTGTCGACTTAGTTGGATAATTTGTCTTTGGACCATAACAAAAAAAATACACTACTTCAGTTCTATTTCTGGAACAGGGCACCTAACCGTAACACCTACAACAGGAGACTCTTTCAATATTACAAGCAGTGTATTTAAAGACTGAAAACTGAATGCACCTGTAGTAGCAGCCCACCCCCAACTTCGTTTGGAAAGCAGAGTATGGAGGGTGGAGTAAATCCAAGTCCACTCCACTGTTCATAACCAGGGCTGGAGGGAGGATGGAATGGGAGAGTGGTTTTAAACCTTTGCACGTCCATCTAGAATTTAGCACACAGTAAGTTTAACTTACCCTGTTATTAAAATTAAGATGTCCATAAGTCTTGATGATATAAACTGCTCCAGGGAGCTGGTTCTGCAAATATGTTGCCATTTGCGGAGAGAACCAGCCCATGTGAGGTGAATGAGAAATGTTTTTTATTTTTTCCATAGGAAAGGCAGTGTGACTTGGGGTGAAGAGCGGATTGGGATATCAGACAGACCTGGCTTCTTATGATGATTCTACCACTGTTGAATCGCAACCCAATGGTTCTAGACTTTGAATGTCTGTTACTGTGGGTATACTCAGGTACACTGTGGGTATATAACTTAATTCAGAAAATAAAATAAAAACAAACCAAAAAAAGCCAAATGGGGGAAAAACCCTAATTGTAGGAAAAACATTAATTGTGCTGCCCATTACAAACGATTCACAACAGAATCTAGTGAAATTGCTTACAAATCAAGAAGAAAAAGCAGCATGTTTACCGATTTTGTTAGCCCTATTGTCCCCTGGCGGGTAGCAATAAAATTCATTAAAATGAAAAGAGCTGTTTGCTTGCTTTTAGGGCTTTGGAGAGAGCCCCATTAGCTGGCTTGGGGCTTGCTGTCTTGGGGTCTGGACTGAGTGACGGCCACAGTTAAAAGGAAATTAAGGCCAGCCCCTGTGGTTGGTGTCAAAGGAAGAAAACGGGGTGTCGGGGTGGGTCTAGGGCCCCTCAGCTAGGCTTCATAAAGACTGAGAAGCTCCACTGTCTGGCTCCCAACTTCCCCTCAGAATTCCACTCCAAGACCGGGGTTTGGAGAAGAGCATTGCCTTTGAGGTTCGCAGCGAGCTCCTGCAGAAGTAGAAGCCAGTGGAAATGGGACACGTTTCAGCCACTCGTTTAAAAAAAAAAAAAAAAACAGTTTCAGTAAACCAAAATTATTTGATGTGGAGTTTTTGCAAATTTCGCTGGGTTGGTTATAATGCGTGGAAGCAACCTAGAATATCCTGTAGTCAGTCAATCTGTAGAATGACGGAGACCAGCTTACACTTCTGATCCGCTTAGAAATATAAAGAAAAGTCTCTGTGTGTATTTCTGGATCTCCTTATTAAAGCGATTAGCTGCTGTCTGGCCCTAACTTAGTTCAGTTGACAGGACACAGGATCCCTCTCGCTGTGAGCTGAATGGATCTAACCATTTAACAACTTCCCTCGCTTTTAGGGAGGATTTCTGCCTTTGTGGTTAGATATTTGGAAGAAGTATATGGCTTGTGTGCACCCCCTGCCAATTCTTCTGCTTTTTTCCTGCTCTTGGTGGGAATTAGAAATAACAGGATAAAGCTAGGGAAGCCCTGTTTACTCAAGGACAAAAGGCCTTGGGTCTTCATCTGAATAAAGTTGGTTATTTTTAAAGATTGAGGTTAAGGTTCTGAAGGCCAATTCCAGGAGTCAAATGCGATGTCAAAAGTTGTTTGGTTTTTGTTTATTTGTTTTTTTAAAGATTTTATTTATTTGACAGAGAGAGACAGTGAGAGAGGGAACACAAGCAGGGGAAGAGGGAAAAGCAGGCTTCCCGCTGAGCAGGGAGCCGGAAGGCGGGGCTCGATCCCAGGACCCTGGGACCATGACCTGAGCTGAAGGCAGACGCTTAACGACTGAGCCACCCAGGCGCCCCTCAAAACTTGTTTGTTAAACAACTTACACAACAGAAGGCTTCTCCATGCCCACCCCACCCCCATCTCCCGCCCGGTATAAAATGTAGAAGGGCAAAGGCCACCCCTCCCGTCACAGCTCCATTGTTCATGCCCTCTTAATAGCTCTTAGGGCCCTGTGCTCCAGTGATTTTTGCAGAACTATCTTCCTTATCATAACCTGAGAGTTCACCAAATTCAAAGACCAGGTTTTAGTTTTCTCAGTGCTCAGCATTCAAGAGGGCGTCCCACCATCTTGGGTGATGCTCATTAATCCCTGTTAGCTGAGAGAGCAGGCAAGGCTGCTAGGCCAGCCCCAGCTGTCTCTGGGGACCTTCTAGATTTATACAAGACCAAGCACAGGACGTGAATTTCCTTT